TTTTTTTATTTATTAAGAAAAGGACACATGGCGTTCATTTAAAAGGTACCTGTTGTTAGGTAAGTACAAGCCAAAGTACAAGGGTACCTGACTGTAGAAAAGCCCTTGTTACTTGGCTGTGTCATTGGCTAAAGCGCATTATTAGGAAAGTGATAGCATTGTTTACCTGAAATAGCAACTGAATTCTCGCCTTAATTGAGTTTTGGCATTTGCCTAAAATAGCACACCAGACTTACGAGCTCTGGCGAATTGAAACGGGGTTCACAACTAAGCACTTAAAATTGGAATGAAAATTAACTTTATTTTGTTATTTTGATAACAAATAATTTTGTTTCAATAAAGTTAACGTGTTATTATTTTTCAGCTGCTTTCTGTTTCTCTATTTCTCTCATATCTTCTTTTTTTCTCTCTGCTTTTCTAACCATCTCACGTACTTCTTTTCTCTCCTCTTTTCAAAATAGACAAGCGCACACACTCACATACATACATACATACATACATCTTTTTTTTTTTAAAAAAAAAAAGGATCAATACTGGTTCCCCAATTTCCCCCAGGTGACTCGAACTCGAGACATGGTACACGCCGAGCGAAGGTATACATACATACATCGTACGTATGTACGTATCTGCTTGATGAAAAATTACTTTTACAAAGTCAAAGCAACACTCATATGTTAGAATTGCTTTTCAAAAACAACATGCAAGCAATACCATTTCTTCAAGCAACAATGCATGTGGGGGTCCAAATTGGAACCCGGACCGACTTGCAATTTGAATCAGAACCTTCATATCCTTGTGCCGGTTCCGGTTCCGGTTCCGGTTCACAATTTGTGAACAAGTAATTGGATCGGCCCATTAGCCACCTTTACATATCTTTATCAAAATTCAATAATAATGCATTTGAAGTTTTGAACATTATCACACATAATGCATGATGGTAATATGACCATAGTGGTGAATAATTGAATGGGTTTTGTGTAGGTTTTTCTCGTCACGTTGTTTTTGTCTTTATTTCTTTTTTCTCCAATGTCTGTCACTTGTCATCTTTCTTTTAAAATAATAATGTTTGCTATAATGGAGCCACCAACTTTAATTTTTTTTTTTAAAAAAAAAAGAAAATTTGTATTTTAATACAATACATTTCATATTTTTGCAATTTAATCACCACATTTAAAATTTTACAAATTAATACACCACATTTATCACTTCTGCAAATTGATACATGAATGACGCTTCCGTTAACAAAAAAATCTGACATGACATTGACGTGGTTTAATGCTATGTCAGGCTTTCATTAGATTTTTTTTGTTAACGGAAC